ACATAACATTGCACTTACATTGATTGTAAGCAGAGATAATTATCGATAGCGAGATAGGACAATAGGCAAAAAGTTAGGTGATGGTGGTGTCGACAGTGAGACATGCATTTGTTATGCCGACACACGTTGTTGCCAGCTGCTGGAATCCTTACCGTTTTACATTATTGCCAACTTAAGAAATAGTCCCTACAAATTAGATTTTTAATTTTATCAAGAAACTAAAGAAAAGTTATTTGTTTAAAAAAATAACTTTTGTAAGTTGCTTCGCTAATACAGGTCCTCCATCACAAATACGGCATCATTGGGACCTGTAGTGTGCCGGATTACTGAATTTCCCGAATTACAGAGTGGTTAAGTTAGAATACACTTAATAAAATTAACCAACTTGACTTACACAGTTCATTGAACATAGGCAAAAATCGAACATTTCTGCTACTTTGAGCTCAATTTCAAGGTACTTTTCGTCATGAAAGCAATCAAAATCATCTCTATTTCTGTAATATATCTTCCATTCTATCAAATGAGTCCAAAAAATGAGAATACAACCATAAAAACCATACGAAAATATACTGCAAAGAGGTGGCTAATGGCTGAGAAGTTAACTCCCTTATTTATCGTTCGTCTTTTTTATTTTTGTTGTACGTTAAGAAGCATCTTTCCATCATACATTGCCCAACTTTGAATGAGATAGCCCAACAAACAACCGAGAAAAAAAAAATATTTACCAAAAATCAAATATGGCAAGCCCAAGCCAGGTACTGGAAATAAGTCCCTTTGTCTAACTTTTCTGGGTTATCCTAGGTTCTCTATACATACACTGCTATGTATAATAATCTATGTAACTGTATTTGTGTATACCTGAATAAACTTACTTACTTCTAGTCTGTCAACTGAGTACAAGAAACCGCCCATTCACTTATTTCAACTACCCAATAAAGTGGTCAGAAATTGGCAATTTGGCCGATTTCACACAAATTTTAACAGATGCCAATTTCAAAATAGGGTCCAGAATAAACAATGCAGACATTCCTGGAACTAAAATAACATTTTCTCTTCATTAGTCACGGCTACAGGCCCCTCTTATATTACTCTTGCTTATCATTTGGAATTTTTATTCACAAAAAAAAAAATAGAAGATTTACTGTCATGCAGACTGCTGCATTATTGTAATAATTGTATAAATAATGTCAATCCATTCTTGACTCCGTACTGGAATTTAGACTGGCAGGCAGACAGGTATTGGACGGTGACGTCATTTGTTTACTCTTGAGCTTCGCTAAAGAATAGAACATTTTCGCTACTGTGAGTGCAATTTCAAGGTACGTTTCGTCATGAAAGCAATCAAAATCATATCTAGTTCTGTAATATATCTTTCATTCTATCCAATGAGACCGAAAAAATGAGAATATAACCATAACAACCATACAAAAATATACCGCTAAGCGGCTGCTAATGGCTGAGAAGTGAACTCTGCTATTTATGGTCTGATTTCTTTCATTTTTGGTGTACGTGAAGAAGTATCTTTCCATCATACATTGCCCAAGTTTGAATAAGATAACCCAACAAACAACTGAGAAAATATAATAATAATAATAATATCTTTATTTACTACACGTACATGTACAAGGTATACAGGCCTAGCTGACATCAGTGACATACTACTGTATAGAAAGGCACTTGCTATGCTGAGTATTTCAAGAAAATTATATCAGTGTCCCAGGGTAACACCCACACTAGTCGACTAACACCCAGGTACCCATTTACGATGGGTAAACATAGACAACAGGTGTAAAGAAACACGCCTAATGTTTCTACCCTGGCTGGGAATCGAATATTTACCAAAAATCATATATGGCTAACCCAAGCCAGGTACTAAAAATAAGCCACATTGACGTTTTTTGGGGTTATCCTAGGTTCTCTACACATGTGCTGCTATGTGTGATAATCTATAGAGAGAAAATAACTTTTTTGTTTCATGTTTATGGTGGAGTACAAGTTTATATCATAGTTAGCCCTGTGCTATACTCCGTTTTCTCTAATATAAGCCACCAAGACAAGGATAGGAGAATGGTATTTGTTTACCATATCCTCTTCATAACTCTGTTGAACTGCTTGGTGTTATGCCAAATATTTTTCATTCTGGAGTATTTAACATGTTTTATGTTATTTATATTGTTTCTTATGTCATATTAGATCAATTGTGATAGGCAAATAAGCTGTAGTGTTGATATTAGCGTAATAATAAAGCATATTCTGCTGCTTCATGAGACTGAGCTCATGGCAACCGACAGTGGCTTCAAAGCCACCTTATCTTTAATGGATAATGTACTGTGTAGGTGCTTTACATAATGAGAAGCATTTCTTTTATTCATTGGAACCATGGCTAGGGCTAAAAGTAAGCAGGTTAAAACAATAAATGGAGAAAGACATTGGAATGACTTGTGCAGCAAGTAGCGCCACCAAACAGTACCAGCAGGTTGGTGTGGCGACCCTGGAAATTTGAAATTATGGTAGCCAAAATTAGTGCCGAATAACTGAAGGAGCTGAATAACTGATTGCCGGATTTGTGATGGCGGACCTGTAATAAATTTTGGTGCTATTTTATTTAAGTTTATTCAACTTTCATTACCCCGAAGATTTTCAGTTTTACCCCATTTGAGTAATTTATCCTGGTTCCCTGATCTCTGCTCTAGAATTGATGAATTTTCAAGTATCAAACAGTCTTTGTCTAGAGAGTTTCAAAAGTTTGAATATTTACACCAGGTTTAAATTCACACAGGCTTAAATAACAAAAATGCAAAATGTTATGTGCAATTCCTATTTATTTCAGATATTTAATTCTGAGGGGAAGAATTTTTATAGGGTAAACGATGTTTACCATGCTGCATATGAGTGTAGATGAATGGTTCAGAGAACCGACAAGTTGATAAATTAGACACACGTGAAACATTGGGGTATCTTTAACCCTTTGACTGTTTCCGACGTATAAATACGTCTTACGAGCCAATGTTTCTGACGTATTTATACGCATAAATTCTAGCAGCTTCAAATCAAGCAGGAGAAAGCTGGTAGGCCCACATGTGAGAGAATGGGTCTCCATGGTCAGTGTGCACCATATAAAAAAAATCGGGGAGCCAGTGGTGCATTGTGGGAATGCCATTTCAGTTGTCCTTTTTCAGCATGTCTAGCGGTAAGAATATGTGATTCCCTAGCAAATCTGGGACTCTTCTCTTCCCAAGTGATGCTCTAACACAGATGGAAGTGTCAGTGAAGATCAATTTCATGATTTGGAGGAGTTTGAGACCAAAAGCAATGGAGGAGGAGGAGGGGAGGAAGAGGAGGAGGAGGGAGGAGGAGGAGGAGGAGAAGGAGAAGAGGAGGAGGAGGAAGAAGAAGATGTAATAATATTGTTCCCTTGAAGCAAGAAAAAAAAAAGTCCACCCCATGACAGTGACAAGATAAGGGAAGATAACATCTGATAAGAGCTGACTTTGATGAGCGTAAAGGAGGGTAATATTACATGACCATCGCCCTCCCTTTGTTTTTGCTGGTACACAAACATTTCTGTCTGTCTATTTGTCTGTCTGTCAAGCTCCCTGTCTGTCCATCTAGCTCTCTGTCTCAGAGAGAGCCACAAGACTGTGTCATCACGTTTACTCACATCTTCAAGCAGAGTATAGCACTTTGTCTGGATTTCTTGGGTTATCCTAGGTAATTTACACTATGTATACTTGTATTTATGTGTACCTGTGAGACAGAGATAGGCAGACAGATAGAAAGAGAGACAGAGTGAAAGATATAGAATGAGGGAGAAAGATAATTAGATAGAATGGAGGAGGGGAAGCAGCATCCGACCCCATTGTTTTGACAGGAGGTAGGGGTGTGAGTAATGAGACAATATGTCACTTTGACAGCTGCCGACTTCTGACTCAAAACAATTATAAGCCACACACACGCACACAAGACAAGGAGGAGGAGAAGGAGGAGAAGGAGAAGGAGGAGAAGGAGAAGGAGGAGAAGGAGAAGGAGAAGGGGGGGAGAGGAGAAGGAGAAGGAGAAGTAGAAGTAGAAGGAGGAGAGGAGGAGGAGGAGGAGGAGGAGGAGGAGGAGGAGAAGGAGGAGGAGAAGGAGGAGGAGAAGGAGGAGGAGGAGGAGGAAGGAGGAGGAAGGAGGAGGAGGAGGAGAAGAAGGAGGAGGAGAAGAAGGAGGAGGAGAAGAGGAGGGAAAGGGGGAGGAGAAGGAGGAGAAGGAGGAGGAGGAGGAGAGGAGGAGGAGGAGGAGAAGGAGGAGGAGGAGAGGAGGAGGAGGATGAGGAGGAGGAGGATGATTGTTTGTTTTTGTAAACAAGTTTTGTAAACAATATATTGATAATTATGTTTGTGTGCTTATTGTGTTGTATACAACGAGTGTATATATATACATTGCACCTTACTTTGGTCTCATAGGCCAATAAGTTATGTGAAAAAATAAAATAGTGAAAAAAACAAAAAACCTTCAAATACAAGTAAACTAAAGTTTACCGGGTGAGCGGCAGTCGCCGCTGTTGCCATACGCGGCTCATTTTCTGCAAACTTCACGGCTCTATATCTCGGTAAGTACCGATGGCAAAAAATTTTTTTTGGACTAAAACACTCAGAAAAATAATCTTAACATTTTCATAAGAAAAAATATTTTTTTTTTTTTTTGAATATTTGGCGACATAGAATGACAGTTTCAGAGAGGGGCCTGAAACAGTCAAAGGGTTAAAGAGGAAACATTTCATCATACTTCTCCTGTTCTTCACCATTCTCCTTTGTTTGGACTGATGAAGCCACTGTATGGCAAAATGTTTCCTCATTAAAGATACCCAAATGATACACGTGTCTAATTTATTTGTTTATGAGTGCACTCCATTGTATATAAGCTAGCAGCACTTACTGTCTGTATTCTTTCCTGTCATGTATTTGATCAGACATTTCCAAAATGTTTATTTCATTGTGTATTGATTTCTTTTATTTCAGGATAACCGCACTGTGCAAACAACGCCTCTGGGGCGTATAGCCTCGTTCTATTACTTGTCACATAAAACCATTCATCAGTTCCAAGAAAAACTCAATCCTTCTCTTACCGTAGAAGATTTCCTAGATCTTCTTACTCAGGTAGTGTTTTTCTTCTTCTTTGAGGCTATTAATTTGTTTACTGACTTGAAAATACTCTGTAATAGATCATCTTTGAACAAATCAGCCGTATCCCACTGAGGCAGGGTGGCCCAAAAATAAAAACAAAAGTTTCCCTCTTTAACTTTAGTAATGTATACAGGAGAAAGGGTTACTATCCCCTTGCTCCCTTGGTAATAGATATTGTATCATAAAAAAAAAAGGATGACTAAATTTCATAAAATTTTAGCAGCTTAATTTCTTCAGTAATGATTATAATTCATGAACTGTTCTCAAAATATTATTTTTCTGTATACTTCAGGCCTATGAATATGATCAGTTACCAGTTCGTCACAATGAAGATAACCTGAATGGGGAGCTAGCAAAATCCTGTCCAATTGAAGTTAATGCCTACACATACGACTCCTCACACACCAAAGCCCACCTCCTGCTACAAGCTACAGCCGCTCC